TCAGGGAAGTGACCTTGGGTACCAGCATATTCCAAAACAATTGTGTAAACAGGCATCATCAAAACCTTCCATCCTCTGAAGCCCTAAATCCTCCCCTTTGTTAAACTGGTATGCGAACCTTTACCTTTGACTATTCAGTGAGTTACTCATTTCGGAATGCTCCCACACTTTGTCCTCTTGTTAATCTCTCTATTGTCAGTTAACTCGAAGGCCCCCAACCATTCTGATCCACATAGGTAGAAGAAAGGTTTTTCATTTCAATATCAGCATTAACTGTGTCCACTAGCTTCCCATTATAGTTGACTTTAATTATAACATTAAAAAAAATTAGACTTTGAATACTATCTCACGATTAGGGCTAGGAATTCAGTACTTTTTTTTTTAACATCAAAAATAGTGAAATGAAAAAGCAAAAAAATAAAAAGGAGGCCAAATATCCAGAAACCACTGATTGATCTAAAACTACAACTGTAAAACCCTGGGGGGTGGGGGGCGCACTACATTTTTCCTTATCAGCCGTTTTCTTCTCTGCACCGCTCCTTTACAGACTTGCACATGGCTGCTTTTCCTTTGGCCCAACCATGGCCAAGGAGGAAGAGACATATGACTAATGCAGAAGGTACAGTGTCAACAAAGGGCTGAAAGATTTTTTTTCTCCCTCCAAAGCAAAGTTAACACTTCCTCCTTCCTCCTATCTACCCCTCTTCTCTATCTCAAAAACACAAATTGAGCTTGACTCTTTTCTTTGAAAGGAATTTTGAAGCGACATGAAGTAATCTACATTTTCCCAGGCCTACCAGAAGTAAGTGTCTAGAGATATATTTTAAAATAAAATACTTTTACTAAGAAAACCCAAGAGGCTGCTTTACAAAAAGACCAATCCATAGGAGAGCAGAGATGCTGTGATGATTATTTCCTTTGTAAAATTTGGAGGCTGCATCCATGTACCGAGAGTGGAGAATACATTAAATAGCAGCGGCTCCCATTCCTTCTTCATCACCATCCACACTATTATTCTTTCATTCAAAGGATTCATCTGAAGAGCATGCTTTGCTGTAACTTTCAAAGCTGCTTTTTGTATCTCAATGTCCTTCATCATTAAAATTCAAAATGACCACTTAAACTCACTGTAATTATAAAACTCACTTCATATTGTCCTTAAAAAATGTAATCCAAAAACCAGTGAAATGCAAAACAGCAACTGTTACCACCCCCAATCCCCAATAAATTTACACACAACAGAAGAGTGGAAAAGGGAAGGCTTGAGAAGGAGCTCTGACTCCATTTAGATTGTTTTAACATTCCTATAGAATTCAGCAATATTCTGGCTTATGTACTAACACCTCTTCAACAAGCTACAGTATATTCTTACTGTAGAAAATGTACCAACACGTATACCAGAAAGGTTACGGTGACAGATGTAATCAGGCTTCTCAGCGGTAAATGAACATAGACACAACCAGGAACACGTAGGTCAACTCTGGGCTCTAACCATGGTTCCAGTTTTGGTTTGACCTTGGAAATGTCAGCTGACTCCTGGCCTCATCCTTTTATCTATCCTGTTCGCTTCTTAACTCCAAGTCCCAACCTAATGAGAGTTTTTCTAAGGTTAACTCATTAGAATTTCCATAGGCAGCCAATTCTCCACTTTGTTAAATTCCTGGGATGGGACTTGGTAGAAACCTGAGTTCCAACCCTAATTTGCTGTGTGGCTCTTGGAAGGTTATTTACACTCTCTGGGTCTGGATAATAATGGGTTAGATTAAATGGTATCCATGGTAACTTCTAGCACTAAATTTCTGTGATTCTATCAGCTTTCCATTCATTACTGGATCAAATACATTGTCACTGTCATTTAGTCTGCATTCACTACATCTGCCAGGCCTTTGCGACCAGCACGGGGTGTCTTAACCTTAAAGACAACTTTCCACAGGGCCCAGAAGTGCTCATCTGCCATGTGTTCACGACCCAATGAAATAGGATATAAAATGGGATTGCCCTAAAGATGCCTACTATCAACTTTTAAATCTGTCTTGCTAATATTCAGGACAGTGATTCTTTTCAGACTTCAGAATTGTAATCAAAGCAATAGCTGACAGTTCTTTCTTTGCATTAGATCAACTCAGTTTAACAAATATGTGCTGAAAGGTTACACTGAGCAAGGTGCTATAGGGTAAACAAAGATGCATAAGAGCTTATAAACCTAGTAAAACACAAGGAGACAAATGAAAGGAGTAGGAGAAGACCAAACAAAATACTATGGTAAATTTAGAGGAAGACTAGATGTCTGAATTTAAGGGAGAAAGGGAAAAAGGTCACAGAAGGCTGTGCCATAAAGGGAACTTTACTGAGGTATAATTTACATATTATAAAATATACCCATGTAAAAAACACAGTCTGATGCAAATTGACAAATGTATACACCTGTGTAACCGCCACAAAAATCAAATGTAGACCCTTTCCATCATCCCAGATGTTACCCTGTGCATATTTGCAGTCAACCCCCTACCCCAGGCAACCACTGATTTGCTTTCTGTCATAAAAGATTTGTTCTGCCTGTTCTAGGGCCACATTGAATCATCTATTACAATGTACCATTTTTGCTTGGCTTCTTTCATTCTGCATATTTGTGAGACTCATCCATGTTGCTGGGTAGCAGCAGTCTGTTCCTTTCTTATTGCTGAGTAGTATTCCATTATGTGGATATAATAATTTGTTTAACTGTTCATCTCCTGATGAACATTTAGGTTGTTTCCAGTTTGGGGGAATTATAAAGTGGCAATAAACATTCTAGCACAAGTCTTCCTTTTAAATTGACATTATTAAGGACTCGTTTCCCTTGGGAAAACACCGAGGAGTAGAATGATTGCATATGGTAAATGTATCTTCACCTTTATATGAAACTGGCAAATTTTTCCAAAGCGGTTGTGCCATTGTACATTCCCATCAGCAATGTATGCGAGTTCCAGTGGCTTCATAATCTCACCAACACTTGGAATTATCAGTCTTTTAAATTTTAGTCTTAGAATGGGTGTGAAGTAGTATTGCATTAGGATTTTCATGGGCGTTACTCTGATGACTAATGATGTTGAACATCTTTTCATGTATTTACTTGCCATTCATATACGAGGTTGGGCAATTAAGTCTGCAAACTTGTTGCAATGATGTTGCTAACATTTTTTTATATCAGAGGGATTATTCATT